CGGACGCTTGGCTGCCGGTTCGGCTCGCGGCGAGTAACATTGTTTTGTACTCGGATTACTTGCGTGTTCAAAATACCGTTAGTGGGCGGAAACAGTCGTGGAGACGACAAAATAGAATCATTGGAATCTTAGCCGAAACTTCTACCGTTTCAACCGCCGAGTCACTACGGACAAAGCTTGTTGCACTGACTAATATTTGATTGATGGTGGGGGTCATTTTGAAGTACTTGTGGTTAAACTTACCAAGGTTCAGTTAAATGTGAATCCTGGTCCACATTGGGATTGCGCGCCGCAATCCATTCACACAACGAGTACTTCAAAAGGTCCCCTGCAATCAGTCATCCAGAATGTGGTTAGCAAGTCATCTGGTTAAACAATCACTACTGGAACGTGATAGTCCGCTTGCTTACAATATACCCACAGATGTACACGAAACCAACACGATAGACTAAGTTCACATTGTTTAGCATATTATCGGAACGGCGGTGATCCACCAACCGGATGTAGCAGTAGTCAGTCTAAACAACCTTGGATCCTCAGCATCATGCTACACGTCGTCTGGAGGTGAGAAATAACTAAACTATCTATGGTCTCACGACCATGAATAGTAAACACTTTACTTGACGTCATAAAACCGCAATGACGATAGTGTAGTGTCGCGGAAGGCACTGATCACTCAGGAGACTGAAAAGCCACTAGAAAGAGGGAGGACCGAAACGGGCGCAGACATCATGGACGATATCGGACAGTGCAACCCCAGTCAAACAATACGAGCAGAGAACGGAACGCGAACAACGAACGAGAACATGCCTGATCCAGAGTACTGAAAAGGGATGTGTCGATAGGCCAATAAATCAGACAGAAACACCTTTGTCGGTGCACCCTGGAGTAATCCCAAGCCGAATAACGCAACCGAGATCAAGCAAATCAAGAGCTTTAGAACAACTCCAGGCTGGTCAGAATGCGAGCTACGGAAGCAAAGCTACGGGGTCAGACAAGCAGGCAGAGCCACGAAATATTCCGACCGACGAGGCACGAACGTGACATGTTGTGATTCCTCATGTATGTTGTGTTGTGGGTCGGAAACATGGTCGATAAATGCACGCGTGCGCGCAGCTTGTGAAAACCGTGATGACGTGTGCAATAAAGATAGTGCATTCTTGCCGCTTCGTTCTTGCTACAATAGTATAGAAATAGGATGATATCGCTCATTGTTCTGCCACCCGTCTTAAGTTAAATACAAGTAATTGTCTTCATTCTGTAAGATCGGCTGTTTTAGTGGAGATGACACTACTGGATAAACCGAGGCAATACTAAGGTGTATTGCCTTCCTAGTTCTGATGTGCAACCAACACAAGCATGATGTTAGATGGTAAAATTTTCTCTTGTTTACCGGGCAGGGTTAACTTTCGTTCAAATGTGTCTGTGATTTCCCCCATACTCTTCTGCGGTGTTTGTAATTTTAAGGTTGTCTTTAAGCGGCAAAATGGCCATTAAAACCACAGGTTGGATAGCTGGATCGTACGCCAGATAACCACGCCGTCTGCACCATCTGCCGCGACTCCGCATACCAACCATTAGTCTACACTTACGTGATTAACTGTATGATGCTCCACATTTTCATTGCATTTCGCATCGGGGGTATCTAGATTTGCTCCGGATAACCTTAACTGACACCTGCTCCTACAGACTACTGTGTCATACATTGTTCTTTTTAGCTATATCTACATGGTTTCACTGCACTCCCGCTGTTAGGTACGATCGCCCCCATACAGCGTAGCATGCACAGTTGTCACACCACATGCCGACTTGAGCCATTCTCCAGTCACACGGAGACATCTCATCTTGTTGTTCCTTTGATACCACGTTTGCCCCGAGACACATGATCCCACGATCCTCTATGTGCCATAAAGCGAGCCAATCGCGTAGAGTTATCGGACCCATTAAAAGAGCCGTGGGAGTCCATTTGCGAACTAGTGTGTTATCCTGTTGTATGGTGGCAATGGAGGGGATTTGTATCCTTACTGTGCCTTGTAAAGACTCAGTTGTTTTTGGGACAAAACGGGTACTATTGAGGCAAGCCCACATGGTACTTTACTTTCTATTTTAATAGCACCGTAGTTAACGTCATGGCTTCCTTTCTTGGTTGGTTTGGGAGATTTTACGCTTCCCTTGAGTCCCGATCTAATTTGTCGATTACATAGTCATTAGTATTGCGGGTTTGGGGGTAGTTTATATGTACACAGGTTGCTAAAAGCGTGCTAGGATAGAAACTAAAGAGGAAATTCATTTCTCTGTGCCTTGTTTATTTGAAAATACTCCGTCACCATCAATCTACCCCTTAACTTGAGGTGAAAAATACCTCACAACTACTGTGCAACCAGAGAATGCATCAGCGGTACGCCGGCACACTGTACCGACGCTTCGCAGCCACGGGGCCGTTACCAGTAGCGCGAGGATTGGATCTACTGCGACCTCGATCGCATGTACGCAGATTCAAACCGGTGACTATTGGATTTCAAGGTATGCATTGTGTGGTTCCGGCTACCGGCCGACAATTATTCCTTAAATAACCTGATAGTCGGGTTTCGGAGTATGCGCCCTTTGTCTTGGATTGCGACACCCAATCACAGTTATAGCTCCGGTTGACTTTGAAGTCATCCTGTGCCATTCCGATCAACTGGGACCGTATCCGATCGAGGTTGTAGATTTCGGTGTTGATCTCTCCCATCCCTGCATTCCACGACGGACGTCTTCGTCCCGGTTTGGACCCATTGGGTAGAGATAGCCAGAATTGCGAGTGGAACTCAGCACATAATGGCTGTAGGCTATCGCTGTGATTGATAGACCAAGACACGCGGCGGCTACTCCAAAATCCGACTATCAACTTCTAACCGCTGTTTCAAGCTGTGCCAACGGAGCTCAATCGTTTGTTGATCATGGCGATAGCCGCTAACCATTATGTGCTGGGATGGGAGAGAGCAAAACGGAAACCCTCCACTTCGGTCAGATACCATACTTAAATCATTTGTTTTCAAGACATTAAATAAATATCAACTACATCAATTCGGGGGGCTATGATTACGTTAACCAGTTTGACTTGCGACGCACAGGCGTATAGTACCAAGCAACAGATGTGACTAGGTCACTTTATCCATCTATTATTGGACTAGTAGCCCCTTTCTGAGCCATTTTTGTGGTTCAGGATGGCTCAATAATTGGTCTACGGCTGAGTGACCAGCGTCTGGGATGAACAAGACTGGCCTCAAATTTTTTTCTGAGCAAAGCCTTGTTTTGAATTGAACATTACACACTAGGCCACTTGGATGTCAGTCAAATGTCGGCGCTCAGGGAGATTCATATTGTCAAATCACCATGTAGAATTGAGATTTACCGTATTAGTCACATGCTCATTATTGCTGCAACCCCCGGATGGACCTCATTCCGCTGGCCTCGATCGCAGATTCACTCATACTGTCTCCCATTGACGGAGTGCATCCTTCATCAGAACGATAGTATGTGTGCACGGCTGGCTAGCTTGCAAATATTCACTCTTAGTTTCCTTTCAACTGTCGCTGAGAGGTGAACACCTTCCGTTTGTCTCGGAAAGGCTAATGGTGACATCCGGCTTCGGATTTATCCCTATTTTAGTGATCGCTAACCACAAGGCGTCTGCGCCTATGGAAAGGCCGTTGGTGATTGGAGCTGCACCACCCACACATAACCCATAGACTGTCTAAATTCAAAGGAATATATTCGGGAAACATAATGGTGGGTGTACGATTCATTTATAGCTTACGTTTTCTCCCACGGCGTGCATGCCTTTCGTGTGAAATTTCGGGGGTGTGGCGCGCGTGCCAGACGCACACAGGCCGCAGGTTTATTTACGGCGCTTGCTGTTTTAGAACGTAGCACAGATTTTGTATCCCGTCCGCCTCCAAAACAATTCAACGACTTGCGTCCACTACTCGAGGTAACTCTGTCAGGTGAGGAGGCACCTTACCACTATTCACATCGAACGCAGTCTGAGTAGATACGTCGATCAGACGTAAACGTCAGGCGCACCTCAGCTATATAACCTTTGGATGCAACCGACGTGACAGAGCACTGCACCTTCCTCCGCAGTCGACGTATCTGCACTTGAATCTTACGAGCGCGAGACCAGTATGATAATGAACACCTGCACCTACATAGACTGAAGCGCATACACAGTGGTCTATCTGTGAAATCTACCGGGAAGGGAAGGCGTCAGCAATCCCCCGGTACGCAGTTCCGACTCTTCGCTGCTGCGCGACCCCTACTAGTCGCGCGTGGGCTAACGATACTGCGAGGGACGCCCGGTCCATACACTGGCTCGAACCCGCGCCATCGGGTTACAAGGCATGTTTGTGATCCTTAAGACTACAGGCCGACAACATTCTACCAGGAAGGCAAAATGAAATGGCCGACGTAAAGCCCTGAGGATAAAGGTATACGAGCCGTCGTATTCCAAAAATGAACTGGGTCTAGTCGCATTTACCCCGTGAGTTGATGCCTCTCCAGGTGCACACACTAGATGGCGATCGTCTGATAGAGGTTCGATCGGATCCGACGGGACATCAATGTTCCAGTAGACCTCCGCAAGAGTCGAGACCCAGTAAACGGTAGCCAATTAAATTTCGTGATGAAGCAACAAGCATGTGATTGGCTGCATGTTGTTTGATCGCATGCGAACTCCTAGTGACTCGTGTAAACTAATCTCTAATGGATCTCATGCTTCAACACATGCCTGAATGACTGCAACATTGTGGAGCCTTACTTCTGTGATAATGGAAATGAGTAGGGTTTCGACGTCCCTCCTAGACTTGGGAAACCATAGAGTCGCATCAGTCAGCAGTGCAAGAATGAGTTGTGGCTACAAGACCACTGCTGGAAAACGTTTATGGGAAAACAAAGCGGCCAAGGCAGCACAAATCATCACAAACAATTGGGATAATTTAAACTGGTTACGAATGACTTACTTGATAAAGCACGTAGAGGCCGAGCATTACCCAATCGAACAAGGTCGGTCTGGTGACCGGTGATCTTTGGGTGCACCAGAAGAAAAATCCCAAGAACGGAATGAACATGGTGCTTGCTTTCATTTTAACCCAGAACAGCATCACGTCACGAAATTTGCCAAATGTGTATTGGAGCATCTGCAAGTGATCGATCGCCCTTGACGGCTGTGTACCCAGGAAATTAGTGCAGATGAGGTTGAACGAAAAGAGGAGTAGAATGGCGATGAACACATGGTAGACCGTTCGAATGTGAGATAGCTCGAATAACTCTGTAAGCACCGAGTCGCGGAGCCTGAACACCTTTTCTGGGAATATTTTTCCTTTGGTTTCAACAGACGGTGGACTTCTGTACAAAGAAAAGCCGTTTGTAAAATCGGTGGATTTCTGTCATTGTTACTGCCTGCAAGTGTATGTCAGCATTCACAGTGACATAATTACTGTCCAGCGCATGGTGCACGATAGGCAGTCTACTTATAAAAGAAACACAAACAACTGCTGACAATAATGAACCACAATTAATGGGAAACGGTCATATGTACTTACTAGGTCCATAGAGGGGGTTGAAAAGAAATCCGATGCATCTGAACCGCTGTTCGTTATTACGGATCATACTTCCACATTATCCAGCCTTCAGCACTTAGTGTTTCGGGATGTAGTTACTGACGGCCGAGTAAAGATGACGCAAGGGGTCCAGCCAAAAGTTTATCCCGCGGCACGCAGCACACACCTAGCGGGCGCAGCATAGTAATTTATGTATTTGCTGTGCCATTCATTCGAACCACAACATCGGGATTGATGTCGAGCTAGAAATGACCTTTATGTCCCATCTTACACGCTATTAACACCATAAGTTGGTTACTTGTTCAGGGCTAGGCAGCCCATTGTTCATTCATGAGGGGTACGTGGCACTTCACTGCACTGTCACAGTCGGCACAATAATCGGGAATGAGCCAAAGCTACGTTACCTTAAACTGGAAGGCTACCTTTCATCGGACCTCCGATCTCGCCTCCTTTTCGTCACGACCAGCAATAACAGCCGCTTAGCTGGATGGATGTTCGCACTGAGATTGATCATCTGAAAGGACAACATTTGGCGAAGTTCGCTGGACACGTAGACACTCATGTTATTAGAATCACTGCGCACTTCACCGCTAGCCTATGCACCTCATTCTTTTGCCTGGTGCGTTTCAAATTAGTGCAAGCTCAGCTGGAAGTGTCAATTTAGCTCGACGGGACTGTAACACGAGAAAGTCGGTATTCTATCCGACGGTGGGGACCTCACGGCGGAACCAGCAAGGTGTCGGCCATTGCACAAGGCTATGCTCCGTGCGCCTAAGGCTATGAGGTGAATAACTTACGCCATGTTGCGTGTTAACCCACCCACCTGCTTTCAAAGGCCAGTCAGATAACCCCGGATGTGTGTTTGTTCAGATAGCTGCTTTGATCGCTTACCAAGCTTAGACGCATTCTGCGGTTGAATCCTAAACATGATTCATAGCGAAGCCCTACTTAGAACGAAGCCCAACGTGCCACAACCGAAGAGCATTTGAGACTGTCGAAAACGCTTCGACCCGGGATATTGTGTTTTAGACGCAGCAAAAGTTTTACGCTAAATGCGCCCAGTGTCAGCAAAGTAATTGGAAGAGATGAACAATAACTGAAGTTCCTTTTGACTCTGCACTGATTGTATTGTCGTCCCGCTTGTTAGGGGAACAGTTATTTTGCCCCAGAAATGCGCTAACCTATCGGCGATGGTAGAACAATATAAACTAGGTAAAAGTCCCCCTTCGGAATCAACTACACCCTGGACAGGAGCCCAAGACTCCACATCCGAACATTGTGGCCCGGCCAGCAGCAACGGAAGTATTGTGGAGCTATTTACACGGGTAAATGCAATCCGAAAGCGGACCAACAACGAGGTTCCATCTACTTCGGCAACTGTCATCCTGGCCCAGAGGATATTGCCTGATAGCAACCATGTGGTACTGAATGCTTACTTCCAACTTACAGTCACGTTCTTATCTGCGATTTCAACGTGCACGACTTGAAAAGCTCGACATCCCCCAGCGAAACATACAAGACCGAACTGAAAGACCGTATCGCAAGTATCCCGCTCTACAATCACATCAGCGCACCTACCAGCTACATGGCTGATAACAAACCAGCGGTACTTGACCTCGTCCTTACAAATGAGGAACTCATGGTCGACAGGCCATTTATAGACACCCCAGTAGGAATAAGCGATCAGGTCACCATACTTTATAACTGTGTGTGTTACGCTGAATATCCTAAGGAATACATAGAACTAACAGGTACTACACATATTACAACATTATGAACAACCTAGTTGAGACAACCGATTCGGAGTTCTTGAAATGTGGCTCACCTGACAGCGCTTGGATTCAGTTTTTTGGACGCTTCAGCAATCTAATCTCAACTGCTTCAGAAACGAATAGGGTTCGCTCCACCAATCCCTCGTCTTTTATCAAATGTAGAACTCGTTAGCGCATATCAATAAGGAATGCAGCTTGACTCACTTACAGAGTTTGACCTGTCCCGAAACCTGGATCGATTCCGTGACCCAGCGCCACTACTGTAACATGCTAGTCCGTGAGGAAAAATTGACTCACCAACAACATTTGGCCTGTAAATTTGTAACAACAAAAAGCTCCTAAACAAGCAAGTTAACATTATCCAGAAAACGATGCTCGGTATTCCGCTACTTAACACGGCAGTCGGAGTGGCACAGAGTCCTGAAGAGGCAGCCAACGCTCTACGAATAGAGTATGCTTCAACTTTCCAACGAGACATCTGCCCCTGTTGCATACCCACATCCTTAGCCCCAATTTCAACACCCACCAATATCGATTTTATTGCCACATTTGTATTGGAGAAACTGCTCTCACTACGCACCTACAGCTCTCCGGGAATCGATTATATTCCCCTTAGGACGCTAAAGGTAACAGCAACAACGCTGGCCGAGCCATTATCGCATTTCTTCTAAACGTGCTTGGATAAGAAAATTGTACCTAGCATATGGAAATATGACTTCATCACTACTATTTTCAAAAGCAGCAATCGCTCGGAGCCCGCCAACTATCGCCCAGTGGTCGTACTCCCTGTACTCTCAAAGGCGATGGAGGCAATCATCGCGGAGGCTTTAGTAGACCATCTAGAACGCCGCAACATCATAACACCCGAGAAACGCGATTTCCACCAGCACCGTCCATGTACTACCAACCTACTGATTGCACACAGTAGTTGGACGGAAATGGCCGATACAGGCAGAAGGACAGACGTCATTTAGGTTGACTTCCCCAAAGTCTTCTACCGACTGGACCACCGCATTCTACTCCACAGGCTCGGAAGCTATGGAGTTGGTGATCCTGTCCTTAGATGGATCAGGAATTTACTGCGGATCAGTTCGAAGTGCGCTGTCCGATCCAAGTTATATCGAATGTGGAGTTCCACGAAGATCAGTTCTGGGGCCGCGTCTGTTTCTCGTGTACATTAAAGAGCTCACGCGTCTAATTGCTTCAGATTCCTTGCTGTTTGCTGATGATGTGAAGATGTGGCGGACGATCGCCGACCCAGCAAATCACGCTGCACTTCAGGGAGACCTGGACAGAGCGTATGGGTGTTTACTCCAAAATCTGCTCTAGTTCATTTCGGGGAAGTGTAAGGTGGTTCACATGCGCCACCAGCCGAACATCACATACAAGCTTGGAGATCATGTCCTGCAAGCAGTCACCCAAGAGCGCGACCTTCGGGTACTAGTTCAGGCTGATCTGAGCTGTTCAGAACAATCTGAGAAGGCGTCAAATACCGGGAACCAATACGTTGGCTTGCTGCGGAGGCCATTTGAGCGGTTTGATCCCTCTGTCTGTTCGCAGGTGCTTAACACCTACATGTGGCCTAACGTGGAATACGCAATCCAGGTGTGGTAACCCTGGCACAAATAAGACCTTGCAGAGCCCGACACTCCACAGTGACGAGCCAGGAAACACGTCGAAGGGTTGTTCAATCTTCCTTAACAACTTAGTGAGAACCCTCCAATTATACAGTGGCTGGTACCGGCGCCTACGTGGCGACCTTATTATGACTTACCAGATTCTAAGAAACCCAAACCACGTCTTCCGTCACCTAATACAATTGAGAAACAACACGAATTTGAGGGGGCACCAGTTCAAGTTAGCCATGCAATTCAGTCGGCTAGAATGTCGACAGAACTTTTACTCTCTTCGTGTGTGCCAGCCATGAAAGGCCCTCCCGAACCACGTTGTTTCCGCCCCCACTTTACCTGTGTTTAAAAAACGCCTTGATGTTTCCCTAACCCACCTACACTACAAGATATGGTCTGTGTGTTTCGACAGACGATATAATGCGACGAACGTTGCACAACCAGAATTAACCTACACAACTGTAGTTGGCCATTTCTGCGTGCCTCTCTGTTAACACTGTGGTGAGTCCACCTAGATGATCTTCATTTTATCCCTTTGTTTTCTATTCACCATGTTGTGGTTCTCTTTTTGGTCATCCTACGGGACTTGCTAAGCACCCGTTTTTTGCCCATAATATGGTTGGCGGCATCCGGTTTCGGATTTGCCTGTCACTGTGGCAAGCCACAGGACGCCTGCGCCTACAGAGGGACCATGGATGGCTTGCGCTGCACCACCCACAGCTCCAACCACATACCCCATATCCAGTGTAAACCAGAAGGAATAAGACCGGGAGGCATGTGGATGGGAACCACGTTTCATCAACGGAGCCGGCCCACACTCCTTCACAGGCAAACACAAGCACGCTGTATTTGGGGAATTAACCGCACACAAGGCGGTGGCTGGACCGTAGTCCGCTCCACACTGAGTGCATGGAACCGCTCTTTGAGCCTAGCACGGCCACAAGAACCGTGCACCCTGTCCCCTCCAGTAACGACCAATTGTCTCCTAGAGCAGTATGAACGTGTAGTGGGTAATAGACAGGTAGGCACCTTGTCAACATACACATCAAGCGCAACCACACCAGGGATATCAAACAACAGCCATTCACTTTAAACGACAAGCTGAAATTAAATAAATCCAATAATGCATACAGATACGGTAGCATAACTCTTCGCTAAATTACCATATGAAGTAAGTTGGTTAGCAACAAATCCGTGATAAGTAAGAAATGTCCACAAGTTACTTAAAATGCTACAAACGCAACAAAATTACCGAAGATAAGCGCAATTAGTGTAAGCAACGTGGCCAGTTAATAGAACATTATTCAGGGAGGCAGAACAAACCAAATAAAGCGGAATGAAATTTAGCCAGCTTAAAAAGACCTAGTTTAAGTGTAAGTTGGTTT